TTCATACCCAAATTTTAATTTTTTTTTATGTATATGAATACATAGATAAATAGATAAAGATCAGAACGCACAAGTTTTTACTTTTTCAAGTGTATCTATTTAATTCTTTACAAGTTTAGTGGAAACCAACAGTTTAAAATGTTATAGAATACGAGGGAGTGTTATGTGTATTTTGAAAAAAACAAGGGTATTAGAACAAATTATTTTGGGTCTTTATTTGAAAAAAAAAAAAACCCTAATCCTACGTCAAGAGAGGTAAGTTTGTCAATTTTTTCCATTCTTACGTGTAAATAACTCAATATTGGATCACAGTCAATAACATCTTCACCATCTAGAGTAAGAATGAGTTGAAGAAAATCGTGCATTGATGGGTGGCGAGGACCCATTTTGACTATCATGAGGTTTTTTCTTATAGTTGGTGTAGTAATAGGTTTTTCCCCTTCTAGTCTTTCATGAATTGGTGAAAAGTAAAAAGAAGGTTCATCAAAATTTAAACGATCAAAAAAAAATTCTTCAAATTAAAGAGTCTTTGTCTCTCGAATATCCAATTGACCAATTATTTCTTTATAACATGCTTTATATTTTTTTGACGAATAAGCTAATAATTGTTGATGTTTTCTCAAAAATTTTCGTAGACTTCTTTGAGATAAATAGTATTTTTTGTGCAATTTCAAATATGAAGTAACTCTCCATATCTTATTAGTGAACTTGACTACTTGAAATTCAACAAATCGTTGTTTTATTTCTTTTTCTCTTGTAAAGTAACGGAAATGAATGAATTTTTTTATCATAAAAGAATCTCCATCTCCTTTTTTTTTTTTTTTGCTTTATAAATATCTAATTTTACTGTTCAAAAATAATAATGTCAACAATTTGAATGTGATATACATAATAATCCTAACCTCTTTATTGACTCTTAACGTTATCAATTAAGATGAATCAATCAAATTGGATTCGAATAGAGATGCAAAAGGATGGTACGTTTTTATACCGACAAAAGTGAATAATTTATATTTAAACTGAAAACAAAGATGATTTTGTTGATTTAATTCACTGTATTTTTGTATATAATTGATACTTCATTGGCGTATATTAGAATGGGATGTAAAATAAGGTATATGTACATCTATTTACTTTCATATACCATATATATAGTACGTGATATATAGAAAAAATATAGTATTAATCAATTTTCAATCGTAGATATATACGTAATCTTTGTCATTATTCGTATTAAACCAATAACAATTCAGACAATCTAAAAAAAGAACTTTAATTGAATTTATTTATTTTTAACACTATCAAGATGTTTACTCTCGTCAAAAAAATAAACTCTGATTTTTTACGTTGTTCTTGTTACAAAATACCGGATTTCTATTCATACCGTTTCTTATTCCCTAACTAGCCTAGTGGAAAACAACAGTTTATAAGTGTTATAAAATTCGGTGGAATGTTAAAGCGTATTTTGAAAAAAATAAGGGCACCGGAGCAAATTATTTTGGGTCCTTATTTAAAAAAAAAAAAAAACCCTAAGCCTGGCGTCTGTCGATTCGCGACTCCTTCAGAGGAACTGTTTCTCTCTCTCTCTCTCTCTGACTCCGACGGACGGCACACTTTCAGGCATACCTCCCGCGACTCCGACAACATCTCTCCTCCCTCCTGTTTACTGTGAAGTTCAGTTTTGACGACTCTCTCTCCTTCTGTTCAAGTATCCTTCACAGTTGATTAGGGCACAGATTCTCTCTCCTCTCTACCGGTGATTAGGACNGCGACTCCGACGACATATCTCCTCCCTCCTGTTTACTGTGAAGTTCAGTTTTGACGACTCTCTCTCCTTCTGTTCAAGTATCCTTCACAGTTGATTAGGGCACAGATTCTCTCTCCTCTCTACCGGTGATTAGGACTCTTCTTTTGCAATTAGGGTTTGTAAAAAAAACCTGGGCTTGTATTAGGGTTTACAATTAGGGATTTATGCACTTTGCACTTTGCAATTTGGTTTTTCTTTTTTTCTTTTTGTTTTGGGTGTGTTTTTATCTAGGAACTAATGAAAATTGAATATTGTAGAAAAGCTAAGAAAGATTTTCGGGTGTAGCTTGGTTGGACCTTTTGCCATTTCTTTGAGAATCTCCACCTCGACGCTGTCGTGCAATCTGATTATCTGAGGTACTCTTTCATTTGACTTTGATGTTGGATTATTTTTGGTATGGTGCTTGGTGTTTNAGAATCTCCACCTCGACGCTGTCGTGCAATCTGATTATCTGAGGTACTCTTTCATTTGACTTTGATGTTGGATTATTTTTGGTATGGTGCTTGGTGTTTAATTTTTGAGTTTAGTTTGGTAAGGGTGTTGGTTGTTGAATCTTTTTTCCATATGGTGTTGCTTGTTGAATTTTCATTTGTAGCTTGGGGTTGGTGATGTTGGTGTTGGTTAGTTATAATTATATNTTTTCTCTTGTAAAGTAACGGAAATGAATGAATTTTTTTATCATAAAAGAATCTCCATCTCCTTTTTTTTTTTTTTTGCTTTATAAATATCTAATTTTACTGTTCAAAAATAATAATGTCAACAATTTGAATGTGATATACATAATAATCCTAACCTCTTTATTGACTCTTAACGTTATCAATTAAGATGAATCAATCAAATTGGATTCGAATAGAGATGCAAAAGGATGGTACGTTTTTATACCGACAAAAGTGAATAATTTATATTTAAACTGAAAACAAAGATGATTTTGTTGATTTAATTCACTGTATTTTTGTATATAATTGATACTTCATTGGCGTATATTAGAATGGGATGTAAAATAAGGTATATGTACATCTATTTACTTTCATATACCATATATATAGTACGTGATATATAGAAAAAATATAGTATTAATCAATTTTCAATCGTAGATATATACGTAATCTTTGTCATTATTCGTATTAAACCAATAACAATTCAGACAATCTAAAAAAAGAACTTTAATTGAATTTATTTATTTTTAACACTATCAAGATGTTTACTCTCGTCAAAAAATAAACTCTGATTTTTTACGTTGTTCTTGTTACAAAATACCGGATTTCTATTCATACCGTTTCTTATTCCCTAACTAGCCTAGTGGAAAACAACAGTTTATAAGTGTTATAAAATTCGGTGGAATGTTAAAGCGTATTTTGAAAAAAATAAGGGCACCGGAGCAAATTATTTTGGGTCCTTATTTAAAAAAAAAAAAAAAAAACCCCTAAGCCTGGCGTCTGTCGATTCGCGACTCCTTCAGAGGAACTGTTTCTCTCTCTCTCTCTCTCTGACTCCGACGGACGGCACACTTTCAGGCATACCTCCCGCGACTCCGACAACATCTCTCCTCCCTCCTGTTTACTGTGAAGTTCAGTTTTGACGACTCTCTCTCCTTCTGTTCAAGTATCCTTCACAGTTGATTAGGGCACAGATTCTCTCTCCTCTCTACCGGTGATTAGGACTCTTCTTTTGCAATTAGGGTTTGTAAAAAAAACCTGGGCTTGTATTAGGGTTTACAATTAGGGATTTATGCACTTTGCACTTTGCAATTTGGTTTTTCTTTTTTTCTTTTTGTTTTGGGTGTGTTTTTATCTAGGAACTAATGAAAATTGAATATTGTAGAAAAGCTAAGAAAGATTTTCGGGTGTAGCTTGGTTGGACCTTTTGCCATTTCTTTGAGAATCTCCACCTCGACGCTGTCGTGCAATCTGATTATCTGAGGTACTCTTTCATTTGACTTTGATGTTGGATTATTTTTGGTATGGTGCTTGGTGTTTAATTTTTGAGTTTAGTTTGGTAAGGGTGTTGGTTGTTGAATCTTTTTTCCATATGGTGTTGCTTGTTGAATTTTCATTTGTAGCTTGGGGTTGGTGATGTTGGTGTTGGTTAGTTATAATTATATATCTTCAATAGATGTGTGGTTCACTTGTTACTTTATAAATCATAATTATTACATTAAATGTAATAATACAAATTTTAAAAACATAATATTACAAACGAATCCTATCTGTATATCCATATCTGTGCTTCATAGATAATAGTTAATAAAAAAAAGGTTGCAAGGAGCCTTTAATTAAAAAGGGTAGTAAACCAAATTTCCTTGATGGTAGGAAGCTTGCTTTAACAAAGTAGGAGAATGCATTAGGAGGAAACATTAACCAAACATATAAAGACAAACATTATTGACTGAATCCCTGGAAGTTGCTTTAGAAAGCTTATCCTGGGAGAAAACATGCGTAAGTTTGTAACAGGTTTGTTTAGTTGTCAACTCTTAACATTTACTGAACTGCATATAGAGTTGTTAAGAATTATTACAATATGAAATTTGACTTACCCAATTGAATCTAGTCTTAAGATTTGACAACTTTGGTGTCATAGAGAGAGAGAGAGAGAGAGAGAGAGCTGCATTGGTCAATGGAGATAATTGAAGTTTGTCTAGCAAAATTGTATGGTTGTGCAAATCGTCACTCAAGTAAATGGTTCTAGGCTCAGATTATGGTATCCTGATGCGCTTTTGTTTTGATTATCTAAATTCATTAACAACTTTTCATTTTTTGGATATTGGCATGTTGAACGACATGTGGTCTATGTATACTATGCAATAGATTATATACCGGAAGCCAAAAGGCCTGAATGTTTTAATTTCCAATTTGCATTATTCCTCCGGCAGTTTACACATCTTCATTCATTGGCTACAATTTTATTTCATGATGAAAAACTATTTGAGCATTAAAATCTAAATTCATTAACAGCTTTTCATTTTTTGGACATTGGCATGTTGAACGACTTGTGGTCTATGTATACTATCCAATAGATTATATACCCAAAAGGCCTGAATGCTTTAATTTCCAATTTGCATTATTCCTTCGGTAATTTTCACATCTTCATTCATTGACTACAATTTTATTTCATGATGAAAAACTATTTGAGCATTAAATTAGGTGTTGTCGTTCATGGTAAATTTTTTTTATTGATAATTCTTTGTAAAACAGAAATGGTAATTCCTCCACCTGTCAGACCTGAAAGAGTTATAAAGTTTCTTAAACCGTATGTCTTGAAGATTCACGTTACAAACAAGTATGTAAATGCCCAAGTTTTCCACACACCAACAGCGACAGTGGCCTCTGCAGCAAGCACACAAGAAAAGGCCCTGAGGGTAAGCATGGGTAAAAACTACGAGAGTACCCATGATGTTGGTGCTGCCTCAAAGATAGGAAAGATACTGGGGGAGCGCCTGCTGATTAATAATATCCCCGCTGTTTCTGTATGCTTCAAGAGAGAACAGAGATATCATGGCAAGGTGAAGGCGGTAATTGATTCTTTAAGGGAAGCAGGTGTCAAACTGGTTTGAATGAAGACTCCACTCTTGGTTTTGTTAACTTGACAGGTGTTTTGGGGTGCAACAACAGAAGCTTAGCTATGTGTTGGTGTGAGTTTGTTTTACCAGGAGGGGATTTGTGTTGGTGTTCCATCATACACTCATTGAACTTGGATACTGCTTGTGATATTCTTACCGACTTCAAACTGATTAGTGATATTCTTCTTAATGATTTGATATTTCTTCTTCGTATCTGCTTGGTTGGTATATTGTTTGTATGAAATGAAAACATTAACCTTTAACTTCAAGTCTATCAGCACTCAAATTCAGGTAAATAGCAATTTGCACCCCGAAAGATTAAAAAAAATTTAATTTACACCCCCAAAGGTCAATTATTTTAAATTGCACCCTCAATTAAATTAATTAGTAGGAATGTGACCACAACCATAATTTCTGTTGCAATTTTTATTAAATTGTTAGTCACATTAGATGCACGTAATGACTTTTTGTCGGATTACGGCGTTTCCCCTTTTTATGTCTTTCATGCATGTCAATTCAATAAAAATCATCATAGATGTTACGACTGAAATTGCAATTTTCGTCCAATTGACAGTCACATGAAATAAACATGATGACTTCTGTTAGATATTGGTCTTTTCCCTTTTCACGTACATCTCACGTGGTTGTGTCAATTTGATAAAAATCATAATGAACGTTATGATTAGATCACATTATCATCAATTAATTTAATTGAGGGTGTAATTTAAAATAATTGATCTTTGAGAGTGAAAATTAAATTTTTTTTAATCTTTTGAGTACAAACTGCCATTTTTCCCACAAATTATGACCAAAACTAACTATTCATCTAATCAAACATGCTATTTTTTTTTTTAATTAAGAATGTTCGGATCAATTTATTTATATTTTAATTAATTTTCTTTCAGACTTGGCCAAAGGTAGTTTATCATCGTTGGATGGAGGATAAATTCATGCTATTTTTTCATAATTATTAAAATCAAGAGCAGCTGAAAAGTTATCAGTTTTCACATGAATTAAAATTTCAGATGTAGACAATTTGGTGCCAAGGGACACCCACAGCCACATCAATTCGCAGGACCTTTTCGTGCCAATTGAAAGTAAAAGGCGTTTCAAATTTTAAAAAATATAGAAAAATAACTTTTATTCAGTAATTCACATTTTGGTAGAAGAAAGGGGAACCAACCAAGACAAAAACCTGGAACAGTAAATCCTTCCAGATTCACCCATAACTTTTACCGAAGGAAAAAATCGTCCGTACCCATTTCGCGCCAAGGATGAGAAGTCCTCCTCACCCACTTTGCTTCATCTATTCCATTTTCTTTGTTGCGTAAATTGCTTCCCATAAATCGGTTCTTGGAAGTCTGTTCAAATTCTTCCTGGTAACTCTCTCTCTCTCTTATAGGACACGTAGCATCTGATGTTTTTATAAAATGCACTAGGATTGGTATGATGTAGTTTTATTCCCTAAATCATGAGTTTGGGATTTTGGGGAACACTAGTCCAGATCAAAAAAGGGTTTTGCTTTAGATTTTGAATCATTCAGCTTTGCGCAGTGTTTCTTCTTGTTGGTACAAATCTTCTAACATCTCGAACTGGGTCTTAACAGGATTCTGGATCCCACCCACTAATTTGCGTATGTAACCAAAGAGATTAATGACTTCATTAGAGATATAGACTTACAATGCCATGTAAGCCTTAAAAAGAAGGGTGTTTTTTTAGGGGTGGGATTTACTTGGTCCTATGTCTTCCCATTAATATTGTTTGGCATATGGTGTTTACATTATTTTCAACAGGCCTTTTATGTGTTTGTAATCTCCTTGAATAATCTTTTAGGATCCCACATCAATTAAAAATAAGATTAAAAGTGTATATATGAACTCTTGGACATCATTTTCTTGTAAGTCAGTTGTCAGGGACAAATTTTACCTATGGGTTCATAACAATTGGGATTAGAATTAGCCACCATGTCTTGAGTATAGGATCGAACACAGGATGAGTTGCGGCTATGGTCGAATCACGAAAAGGGTGACTTATAGGTTGGATTAAGATGACTTGGTATTATGTATCGATATAATGTTATCTCATTGAATACTGATATGCAAGCGCGGCAGAGAAAGGACTACATTTAGGTCAGTGCTGATAGAGTAGTCCGTCGTAGACGTAGGCTATAGAAACATGGTGGAATGTTACGATCCCACATTAGTTAAAAAGAAGATTAAATGTGTGTATGTGAATTCTTGGACACCCTTCTCTTGTAAGCGGGTTTTGAGGGATAAAGGCATCAAAACTACAAAATTGTTGTTAAGGTTTTCTTTCTTTATTTATGCCTCTAGATATAGTTTCCATGAATTTCTAAAATAGTTGTGGAAAGAAGAAATCAAAAACTGATGTTTATAGCATAAAGGCATCAAAGAAGCATGACTTACTGTTTTGATTTCATAAGATATCTAATAAGCCTCTTGTATAGTTGCTGTAGTTAGATGTTTATCCTATAAGACCAAAAAGAAAGAGAATGGTGGAGGGTTCCACCAAGTTTTTAAAAGCACTAAATGTGATGTCATAAAATCTTCAGTTTGTAGCTCATTAATTGTATTGATGCCAAGAGATAGTTAAGTTCTGTGATATATGATGCCTAACTCCAGGTTCATTTGCATAGATCATAAACCATGGGAAAAAGAAGAAATTCGACAGCTTTTGAAAACCAGAAAGGCAACAAAGAAGCAGATGAGAAAGTTCAGAGCTCACGCCATTCCATTCTGGATCTTCCTATGCCCATCATTTTAGATATTCTTATAAAGCTGCCTATAAAGGGAATTGTCATGTGCAAGTGTGTATGTAAATATTGGCACAACATTATTTTGGATCCTCAGTTTGCTAATCTGCACTTTGCACAAGCGCAGGCCTGCCCTCTGGTTCGGACCTTGTGGACTACCTTTGTGTCAAGAATGCTTTACTTGGTTGACCTGCCTGAAAGTGATGTTGATCATTGCTTGTGTGGTGATCTTAACAAGAACTGTAAATGTGGTCATCGCATTAATATGAAAAGCTTGACACCAAATTAAAGATCCCTATGCGCAACACTGAAATGGTGCTTAACAGGGAAAATCTTTGCTCTAACAGTGGTATTAGGAGGAAGCATTGCATCAAGGTGAAACCCACAGATCATAAATTCAAAATTGCAAATTCATGCAATGGATTCCTTTGTCTGTCAGAACCCATGAATAATGATCCTGTTGTCTTGTGTAATCCAATTACAGGGGAGTATGTAAATCTTCCAATGGCTAAGAAAGTTGATGAGAATAATACAGGTCTCATAGATTGTGCGCCCTGCTTCAGTCCAAAGACCAATCAATACAAGGTGATTCGAATGTTTGATCAAGGGACTCGTCAAGTTGTTGCTTGTCCCATTACAGGAACAGAAAGATATCTTAGTAGGGTGGCTGAGGTACACACACTCGGCATAGAATCTTGGAAAAGCATAGGCTATGGTCCCTCTTCAATTTAAAAGCTAACATTCCCCACCTATCTGAATGGAGTTCTTCATTGGCTTTGTGTTGATGACAGGAGATCTGATTTTATAGTTTCCTTTGACATTGACAGTGAGCGTTTCCAATCAGTTCCATCACCTCCTCTTGGATGTAACAAACTTGGCTTGAGTGATATGCCTTTTGTGAGCCTGGGAGTAGCAAGAGAACTTTTGTGCTTCTCTGATGGTTCTGGTGCTGATTTCATTGTTATATGGGCGATGAGGAAGTATGGAGTGAAAAGTTCATGGACTCGAATGATTTCCAATGACAGTAAAACTGCAGAGAGTTGGTATTGTTTGCTGTACCAGCCCATGAGTCAGCTGAAGAATGGGCCATTGCTGATGTATCTAAACACTCAAAGGGCCTTGATATACTATGACAGTAAAAGAGAAGAGTGGAAATATCTTAAGTTTTGTGGGATTGATACACAATTTGAAGCTGTGCCTCATATACCAAGTTTCATCTCGCTTAAGGATGCCGTTATAGGATACAGTGATGTGGTGCTGAATATAAATTCAAGGTGATAATGTGCCAGTTTGCAATTTTGTAGTTGATTTAATAGCTTTGTTGATTTATATATTAGTACGTTATGATCTCTCCTCCACTTCTTTATTCCTTTTTCTTTCCGTGTGTGTGTGCATGTTTCAGTAATCACATTGAAAACTAGTGGTAAACGTGTACCCACCATCTGCATAGCAACTTCAGAGAAATTTCTGCAAAAAAGCATCTTTCTTTAAATATTCTTTCTGTATGGGGCAATTTGTGCGTGTGCGTGTAATTGCCGCATAGAGCATGCCTTCAAGTTAAAAGACAAGTTTCTTGATGAATCTTTCCACCTGTTCAAACTTTTGTGAACATAAGATACCTAAAAGTATATACTCTGCCTCAACCTTGTTGGACTATATCAGTCATGCAGGGAACAAAGTTGGTCTTTTATGCATATGTTCTCGGGTTAGGAGTCAATTCTTTGAATAATAAGAACACTACGACTAAGGTCTCTTTAGTCTTATTTGTCTGCTAATACACTTGTACTTGCTAGAGTCATGCTAGGCTCTCAAGGTTCATCAACTCTTTTTCTTGTGCTGGGTGAGGAAGGGTATGACTATCTAAGATAGCTACTAAGGCAAATTACTCACCAAAAACTATGGATTTGAACTTTGAACCTGCCTTCAGAGCCCTAGTGCTGACATTCTCACCCCTGTAAAGAAGCAGTTTGAACTTTCAGATGCTCTATATAGGTTCCTCGTTTGGTGTTCAGAGATTGATTGCGTTATCTGCTAAAATATAAGTGACAAGACAAGAAACAATATTGATTCGAATGTAGTTCCCTTTATTGGTATTTGGCGCAGGAACCAAATTTAAACCATTGCAGTGCATTTGGGTGTAATTTCTTTGTGGTGTATTTGAACAATTTTAGGAGTTGATGGTACATCAATTGAGTTTCAGAAGTATTTATGGCTTGTCCGTATACCCTGGTTAACTATATTGTTTGGTAAGATTATAACATTGCGGAAAATAGTTATTTTGAGCACATGTACAACAAACTAGGGGACATTTATAGTTGCATATATTACCGATGTACTAAATGAGCCATACAATCAATTGCAGTGTTTGAAATTGATTGTAAAACCGAATGCTAGTTTAATTGTATGCAAATTTTAAATATTCTACACAATTTAGATGTATCCTGCGGCTCATAGTATGAAAGTTGTGCGATCTGTTTTGCTACAGGTGTGCAGGGTTGAAGCTGCAGGAAGAGACTAAAGCTCTTTTCTTGGTGGAAGAAGATAGGAAAATGGATCTGGATTCAGATTGGTTATTGTATAGTGATGATGACGTGGAGTCGATACTGCTGGCAGAGGTGAGATAGCCGAAAACCAAGCTTGAAAAACGTTTTTTTTTGGTTGAGAAATGATGAAGTACAAGGAGAGAGTGCAATAAAATTAAACAGGTATATTTACATTTTCTACTCCTACTGTTAATCCTGCTTCTACCCGCTGCTGTGAGCCATGACAGCTGTCCATATCAATGGCTATTTGCCTCATAACCAAGGGGGGGAGGTTTTCAACATTAAGGGTTCCCCGATAATTATTCCTTAGCCCCCATTGGGCCAGTTCGTGTGCAGCTTTGTTTGCTTGTCTGAATGCATGAATCATACTCCAGTCAATGTGCTGCTGTAGAAAGTGTTTGATATCTTGTATTATGGATATGATGGACCAGATGATAGGCAATCCAATTAGTAAATCAAACCAATTTAAGTGCCAATTCACCCGGCCGGTCCAATTCAATTCTGATAACATCATCGAGTCCGTCGATCTTGATAACATTATATTAGAGTGTCTTGCCTAACATATCAATTGGGTATGTACATGAAGCATATTTCATGGCAGGAGGTGATCAGTAATTTTAATAAATATTTTCAAACGTAACGAAAAACTATTGACCAAATTGCCACCTGCCATGAGATGTTTTGCAAGCATGCAATTCGGTTTATTCTGCCATTACTAATTAAAATATAGAATAATGAATCACTATATTTTAATTTGCTTTTAATCTCCTAACACAAAATCAGCTTTTTTTTGGGTAGTTCTTAAAGAATTAGCTTGATTATCCTAGAAATTACAAAAGGGCCAAAAATCACAAGAATAAACTGGTTTTAACTTACGGTTCTAAAAAAAAAAAAAAAAGTTTTAGACGTTTCGTTTGGTACGATAAAAAAAAAAAAAGAATGAATAGTTCGAAGATGGGGAGAATAGTGTTCGAAGACTTCATAAAAAACTATGGTAAGCTACAAGGCTAACAACCGAGCCTACTAAGTAACATATTCCCTGAGGTTAAAATCTCATCAAAAGTTTAATACACGTTATCGTACATACTATCTCACAAACTATAAAATTAAACCACAATGCCATGCAAGCACACTATTTTCTACAACCATCGTTGTGCATCATCTTAACATAGACCATCAAATTAATAAGCCCCATAAAATTTATTAAATATTTAATGACTTTGATTGTACCCCGTCAAGTGGCATAAGAGACGTGGTGGTTAACAAAGATGATGTGTACGACATTATTCAAAACTAAATTGGCTTTGATCAGAGACTCGAGGATTGCAAAATTTGAGGAAAATATTAAATTTCAATCCTTGCATACTAGACAGGTTTGATGAAAAACACAAACGTAACATCATTCATTCATTCATGCCCCCAATGAAATTAAACTAGTCTGCAAAACTAGAGAAAATCCATATGAAACCCTCACTTTGCATTAAAGGGATACAACTGCTTGAAGAGAGACACAAGATCACCAAGGCCAATCACTGTTGTCGGACCTCGGCTTTCTTCTTCTGCCAGAGCCTGTCAAGGGCACTATCAGCATCTCCCTGAAAAAAAAGTGGGGAGTGCCAAATGAGCAAATTCCAGAAGAGCATTACAAAACTTGCCCTATCAATGGATATGGATCCACAAGGCTGTTAATCAGGACCACCCACAGGATCTAAAAAGCCAATTTAAAAGGCACCACCTGCCTATCAAAACTTTTATAACCCAAAGAACACGTTACGGTCCCCTTGAGTGCAAGAATTGGACTGCCACATCCACTACAACATCCGGCATTTAGTGGGAAGCAAAGGGTTAAATATTAGAAGAATCAGAAACATGGCATTTGATCTATTTTTTGTATTTCAACTTTCAAAACCAAAAGCACTCTTTTTAACATAAAATGTGGTTCCTTTCCTGTGGCTTCTATTCTCATTCTCCTACCGAAGCTCTTGACTAAAAAATTCTTGAAACATATCCAACTAGCACTAATCAATGAAATCAAACACATGAAAAATAGGAATATAAATGCATGAGAAAATAAACAGAGAAAAATGGATCAATAAGCAAGCATGCCATTGTGAGTGTTATTTTCTTTTTGTACGAATATCAATTAACCCACCACTCCCACAAGCTCCGCAATTGATTTGTCCCCTTAACACACTAATAACCCTACATATCTTAATAGACTACTCAAAAAAAAGTACTAGTATTATCATAAAGAATTCAAGACAAACACTGGTAGCAAAGAAATCAGTCATATTCACAACCATCACCTGCACTCCAACATTCACTGACCATTATAGACACAACAGAGAGGGGATTTGCCAGCACAGAAACAAATAAGCCAAGGCAACATGAAGCAATGGCAAACACCGTTGGAATTTAGCACTTTTAAGCTAATAAATCAACCAGTAAATTCTCGTGATCAATTTGTCCCGACTTTGTCGGCTAGATTCCCTCTACTACTCTAGCTAGAACAGTAATGCTAGTAAAACTAACAGCATCTGAATAACAGTAGAAGCATATGAAAAACACCGACAGCATTAAACAATTTTCCTCTGTAAACACCAATAGCAGGGCATTTCAACAAACATACAAGCAACGATAAAGAAACAACTATTTCTTTAAATATACAAGAAAAACAAGAATAATAACCTGGGCCCGGACGAAACCACACAGAGCAAATGTGGAGAATTGACCGGTATACCGGCCAGTTTGATCCACATGACCAACATTGATCTGTACAGAAGCATGATCTTTTGAAGTAATCAGCCTGTTCGTGGCAGAGCTGCAAAAGTATGACAAATAATGTTCAAATCACTATTACCCATTTTAGTTGAAATCGTGATGAGACATAATACATAGATAACAACAACAAAAAAATACCACTTCCGCGGAATGTAAAGATCCATGTTTTGTCCCTCCTCGTTCTGCATCTTGTTAAATTTTCAGACAATCAACAAATTTCTGAAGCTCAAAATACCTGAATTTAGGAGGACAAAATCGAACTCCGTTAATAAACAATCTGGATTATAAAACCGTTATCACTAGGCAATCCCCTCATTATCTACTTTGTGATTAACGAAAATTGATTCCCAAAATACCTAAAGAAATTGGCACATAGTCTAATCCAACAAACATAATGTACAAAACTGATCTGATACTCCATAATAAAATAGGCATTTCAACGTTGAAACTGTGCAGAGTGCTATTAAGACAATGACCTAATTTTTCCTTAATCAATTAAGGAGTAATTAGAGAAGGTTTCTCCAACAAATTTATTACGATGAAAAAATATGAAGACTATGGGTCAAACTGGATGCAAAAAATAACATGACACCATTCATTTTTTGTATATTAGAAAGTGATTACAGTAAGTACATCTATTAATTTCAGCAGCCCAAATACTTTCAATTTACAATGAGCCAAACCCACAATACTATCACATATTCTAAAGTGCAAATAGCATATATTTAGCAAATACTCAGGAGAGCAACACAACACATATTCTAACAGATCAGAACACAATGACCGACTGAAGGAAAAAAGAAAGCAATCAACATATCATATCACATACCATAGATCCCAAAATAAACCTAGATCTGATCATATCTATAACCATAGATCAAAAAAAAAAAAAAACCAAGATCTGAGCGAGTGGAGAAAAAAAAACAGTGAACACTTTAGCAGAAAAAAAAAATAGAACTGAGCAATTGGAGAAAAAAAAAAACAGACGCAGGTTATTTACCTTGAACGAGAGCCCTTCAACGAGGAAGACGATGACTGGAGCAGCTGCTTGTGTCGTCGTTGGGCCGATTGACTGGAGAGCTTCAGAGAGAGAGAGAGAGAGAGGAGATGGGGTCTCGCGACGAAGAGGGAAATCTGATTTATTGTATCAAAGATTTATCGAATCTCTTTTTATTTTAAAAATAAAAAATTTTAATTTATATTTTTAAAAATGTAAATCTATATCGATGCGTACTAAAGTTAACGACGGCCAATTTACCATCTAAATCTAAATGAATAAATCATATTTAAAATATTATTAGACCCTTCATATTTAAAATATTACATATATACCCCATAATATTTGTGCATATATAACACATAATCACTCTCGTCAATATCTGTAATTATTAAAAAATATGATGTCATCCTAATAAATAAGTATAATTTTCATACTATCATTTATTTTGTAGGTTCGTTGTACTCTAAAATTTAAAATTAGGCTTACCCTTTGAATATCCAATATAATACGGGCTCGTTTAGTTACCATATTAGAAATTGATGGATTACATAAAATAATATAATTTAATACAATTCAGATAAATAAAATACAAGATAAAATAAGGTATTAAAATAATATGTAATTTTATCTAATATTTGACAATATACGATGTAAACGTTGGATAGTAATTATTTAATACAATCGGTTGTTTAGTAAGGAAATTATTTCTTTGTATGAATGTTGAATTAACAAAAATACCTTCAATCAGTGTTTGTTACATTGATGACAGTATGATTTTATCAACTAGGGGTTATAATAGTAAATGTATAGAATAATACGTTTGAGTTGGATTATAACACCATCTCTCTTGGTGGCATTAAAATACCTTTATAATATAAGTTTATCGGATAAAAAATATACAATAAATATATGATCAGTATACGTTTTTGAAATTAATACAATATCAAATTTATTTACCAAACAAAGTATTATGCCTGATTAAATAAAAAATAGTACAATCTAATATTTAATCCCGTCATAATACATTTACCAAAGAAAGTCGTACATGTATTATATAATGTACAAGAGTAGTAGTATTATATAATATTCTTTATATCCAATGCAATACATCACTTGAATAGAATTATTTAGATGTCCAATTAGAGAACACTTTTAGTCATATTTAAATTCTCATGAGGTGTAGGTATAATATTTTAAATGTGAGAGATCCAGGTGATTCAGTGATAAATATGAAAAGGTCTAAATATAATTTAGACATTTAATTTCAGACAGGAATCGGTCATTCAAGTGCTTATTTGATACAGATTTATATATTTAAGAGTATAAATTGAATTTTTTTTATCTTTGAGGATATAAATTAATATCCAAATGTGGGATATTAATCACATGGATGAGTTTTTTTGTACAGACGAAAAAGCTTTCCTATCTGAGTTTGATGACCATAAAATAAAAGAGAGAAATGTGTTACAAAATCGGGTTAGAAAGGTGAGTAATATCATTAATAATGCAAAGAACCAATAAAAGTCTTTTTTCTTTTTGAAGGTATATATATATGTTGCACCCTATTTGGGTTCAGAACTGGTGATTTGCTATCGAGAGAAATTGAAAGTACATCGAGGAGATCTTAGGGCTGTTAATCAAACTGAACTATTCAAGTTTTGGTTTGAGTTTGACTTGATTTTGATTTGTTCAGATTGAGTTTATTTTTTAAACGAGCTCAAATTTGAACAAATTTTTAGACTCATTTAAAAAACAAGCCCTACAAACTTGACTCAAACTTGACATGCTCAACTCGTTTATATGCAAATACTCGAGCTCATACTCGACTTGTTTTTGACTTGTTCAGGCTCGCCTCGTTTCCTAAACGAACCGAACTTAAACAATTTTTTTAACTCAATTAAGAAATAAAGGGCCTGTTTGGTTTGCGTTTCAAACACTAGTATCCGAAAACAATTTTTTAAAAGAGTTTTAAAAAAGTGGTTTTGATATTTTTTGAGATAAAAAATTTGTTTGGTTAGATGATTTCAAAAATAATTTTATAATATAGAAAATAGTAAAACATGTTTGGACAGCCTAAATATATATTTGAACAGTATATACTGTGTGTGTGTGTATATATATATATATATATATATATATATATATATATATATATATATATATATATATATTTATATATATATATGTATATATATTAGTAATTACTCGTGCCTGAAAGCACGACGTTACAAACAAAAAAATCAAAAGCAAATATATGTGCATTGAGAGACTGTATCCCATAAAAAATTGTTAATTAGAAAAACTAAAAAAAAACATTGATAAATATAATATGAACCTATTATTTTTTAAAAAAAAATTGATAGAATACAAATCAAAACAATCTCAAATATTGTTCAATGACCGTTTAATTATTGATTAATATTCAAATGGTCGTAAATTCAAAAATCATTGTGATATAAAAATAATCAAATAAATATGAAATAGAAAGTAAGGAAGGGGGATTAAGAGATGAATTGCAACAAAAAATATAATAAACGACATCAACAAAACCTGAATCAATTAAAATTAAATTATTAACACTCTATCGGGTTAAATTACACTTTTTGTCCTCATAGTATGTTGATAGTTTAGGGAATGTTCGTGCCTCTAAATATAATATTTTTTTTTATATTCTTCCAAAGAATTACGGCTAAATTCTCTCTAAAAATAAGACCCTACAAAAATATGAAGATGTGCAAACCTTATCAAGCAAAGATGTTTTTCATATATCATACTTAAACATATTCGTGGAGAGATAGCTTATCATTAATGGAAACTGGTCTTGATCAAATTTCTATGATTAAATCCAAGTATGCTAACATTATCAAATTGAAAAACTGAATATATAAAATTTAAGTCCTATAAAAAATTTAAGTAAAATCCTCTAAAAATTACACAACTATGCAGAACTATTACCACTAATACCAGCATTACCATTATTACCACTTAACCTAAATTTTGATAACTAATCAAATTTTGTGCTCAAATTGAAATTAAATCTAACCAAATCAACTATTTAAATTAATTTTGCTATTCAATTCAAATCAAATTCCATCAACTAAGTTAATTTTATGTTGCACAAATTTATCCCAAGAGTTTTACCCCACCACCACCCATCCATCACAACTTCAAGATTAACTATCATCACTAAAACCACCACCATTATCACTTCCAAACCTAAAACATATCTTCAACAACCATCGGTACTGTTTTGAAAATGCGAGTTTACTTTTAACTATAATCCAAGCCAAATAATGTATCGAATTGGCAACAAATCAAATGAACTATAAGACATAACCCGTGCTTGAAGGCACAATAGAACAAAAAGTTCGAGTCCTAAAAAATCGATATTACTATATTAAATAATAATTTTTATTTCTTTCATTTATTTAATTAAATCATTCAAAATTTATTTTTACCCATCATTTTCTTAAAGATATTGACAATTTTTTTTCAAAATATGTAATTTGATAAATTTTTTTAACAGATCTATACTATCGTGTATGGATAATATCTGAAATAAAAATTATGTTAAATTATAAATTAATCAAATATTAAATGGTTGAGCATGTGATAGAAATAAGTGATATAATGTTTTTGGAGGGGGTAATGCATAGGGGATAAAGTTCAACTTCCTATGTATTTATTATATAGATTTGTATAGATATAAGGGAAAATTTTATCTAAATCCCCTGTAGTTAGGTTTAAATTTAATGACACCTTCTTCTGATTTTTAAATTTCACTGTCACTCACTGTTAGTGATTGTTGAGTTACACCGTTAATGGCGATGGTTGATTTATAGAAATATCTCCGAGTATTTTATAGGGTAAATCTTTAACAACATCCTTTATAAATAGACCTAACTTTAACGACGCTCTCTCTTGATTCTGAAATGTCAGTGCACTCCCTTTCAATTATATTATATTAGCCTTTATTTTGATCAATTTAATATTCAATTTTATCAAATTAATTTTCTTTATTTAATTTAAACTAAATTAACATTTCATCTCATTAAATCTACACAAAATTGATATTTAATTTTATCAAATTATCATTAGTTATATTAATTTAATATTTCATTTCATCAAATTAGTATATCAAATTAACCTTATATTAATTTATCAAATTGACATTCAATTTTATTAAAT